ACACTATTTGTAGATAAAACCTCGTGGGAACGTCTTCAACTTCTTCAGCCGGACCGCCTGGACAAAGTGTGTAGAGTTGGCGATTAAACCGTTACCATTACTGAGTTTAGTAATGGTAAGGGTTCTATTGCTGCTCTAATATCAGCTTCAAGACCACAGCGGATACACATACACTGTATTATTAATAAGTAGAATGCTGATTTAAAAACATCTCTCATTGTATGGACTCTGCATACATCTAATAAAGTCTTCTGATTTTAAAACATCTGTCATTGTATGGACTCTGCATACATCTAATAAAGTCTTCTGATTTTAAAACATCTGTCATTGTATGGACTCTGCATACATCTAATAAAGTCTTCTGATTTTAAAACATCTGTCATTGTATGGAATCTGCACACATGTAATAAAGTCTTCTGATTTTTCCCTTGAATGTTGTTTTTTTCTCAATCTCAGCTTTTAAAGATGCAATATTTACCATAGGCTAAAAGTCACATAAAATAATAATACTTCTACAGATTTCTTCTAAAAATTGGTAATCGGTTTCTTTCAGATGGCAGAGGTAAATGTAATTTAGACAGTGGGGACCCAGATGTGGCTGGAATACACAGAACAGCAGTGGGTCTTGCTGCACAGGGGTCATCAAATTAATTCCCACCAGTCAAAATCCACATAGTGTTGTGTTCTTCTTAAATGTTACTTAATTTCCTCTGGCTGCTTCACATTTCTCCCTCAGTCTATCCTAAACTATCTCTAATTGTCTGTGTGAATGTAATGGGAAATTAGATCCTGCAGTCTCTGCGTGAATGTAATGAGGACATTAGATCCTAGTCTCCTTCAAGGCAAGAGACTGATGTAAATGGTATATGCGTGTTCTATTCAAAGCTCTGTGCAATACACAATCAATGTATACATGAATAATTAAAAAAACAAAACTTCCTATTTCCTAAAGACAAAGGTAAGCACAGGTCCAGGCAATTATATTTAGCACACTATACAAGCATATGGATTTTTATTACAGACTAAAGAGTGTTTTCCCTAATAAATCCTGACATATCTGGGGCACAGTTACTACAATATTCTGTCAATTAGTTTAAAAAAATCTGTTAATCAATAGGTGGTTCTCTATGTAATATAGACTGTCTGGAAAGACTCAAATGTGCTGTATAATGGGTTTACAAAAAAACAAATAACCAAATCAGCCATTGATGAAAAGCTGGAGCTAATTTTTTATTGGTTGCCATAAGTACCTGCACGCATTTAAATAAACTTATACCACCAGTATACTGTAGAGATATGGGGGGTTACGTGGTATGTAGTCAACATGTCACCCACAGTGACGTTCAGTATTTTCCTGGCAAACAGCTCTGCGTGCACTGCAGCTTTTAATCAGGACTAAACAGGCACCAAGTAAGCGTTTTAGCAAAGGTGGAGCAAGGAAACTCTTATCTCTGACCATAAGGACCTGCAACACCCCTCAAGTCCTCACACTTGCATAGACAAGAAAAACTGATACTTTTTTAAAATCTAGATACAAACCCAAATGTTTGAACTGCCAGATGGATTAAACTATATTAATAACTCTCTTCAGCTCTATACTTTCATTCTTTTATGACAAAGGATGTTAAAGGGAACGTGTGCTGAAAGAATATTTAGGCTGCCAATACTGATCTCTCCATAAAAGTTTAAAGCCCCCATATTTCTCTCAGTATAGGTCACCTATAAAAGACTTTCCTTCTTTCTTTGTTACCTCTCTCTTTGCTGTCCTTCCTCCTTCCTCCTTGATGATATCTCAGGAATGGAACGGCTCTGGAGCATTTCATTGCAATCAACATGTAGCATGCATAGTTGCATGAAGGTCCCCACACACCTTACGATAATCGTACGATAATCGCCGGAAATCCCGCGATCGTACGATTATCGTAAGGTGTGTGGAAGCCGAGCGAACTCTACTACTGTAAGGTTGCACGACTTTAAACTTACGAACATGTTTGAAAACCCGCCGAGCATCGTACGATGTTTGGGGGGTTTGTGGCATGTTCGTACGATAAAAGCTGGACGGGCTGGTGTGCGCAAGCGCACACTCCCCGATCGGCATTGTGGTCATCGCAAGTACGATCTGCCTATGCAACATAGGCAGATCGTACGTTTTTTTAAGTACCTTACAACCATCGCAAGACAAAAGTCTTGCGATGGTTGTAAGGTGTGTGCCCAGGACAAGTGGTTTTCTTGACTTTCCTTCCACTTTAAAAAGATTTTGATGGACCTCTTGGCCTTTTTCTGCTGTCATTCTACTATGTTTATAAATAAAGCTAGTATAACTTCATCATTTTTAGAGGCTATTACAAGACCAGGCCCAAATATTTTGAAGTTTAAAAAAAAAAAAAAGCATTTCTCTCTATGTATGTATCTACAGGTGAAACTCAAATAATTAGAATATCGTGCAAAAGTTCATTTATTTCACTAATGCAACTTAAAAGGTGAAACTAATATATGAGATAGACTCATTACATGCAAAGCAAGATAATTCAAGCCGTGATTTGTCATAATTGTGATGATTATGGCTTACAGCTCATGAAAACCCCAAATCCACAACCTCAGAAAATTAGAATATTACATGCAATCAATAAAACAAGGATTGTACATAGAACAATATCGGACCTCTGAAAAGTACAAGCATGCATATGTACTCAGTACTTGGTTTGGGCCCCTTTTGCAGCACTATTAGTTTCACCTTTTAAGTTGCATTAGTGAAATAAATGAACTTTTGCACGATATTCTAATTATTCGAGTTTTACCTGTATGTGTGCGAGTCTTTTGCTGGAAGGCAGTGCCAGGCAAGGCCACAGTAAAGATTGCTGGAACGGAAAGAAAGGTTAGTGTTTGACCGGGTGGGCTCCATTTGTTTGGACACACTTGGGATTCCTGCCCGCAAGAATCCGTAGGTTCTTGTTGCAAGAATCGCCAGCCGCAGCCTAAGTCCCTTTGTGAATGGGGCCTTACACACATTATTGAAGGTGGTCTTTTATATAAGGATACTTAGATTAAGTATGCAATATTTTTTTACCGTCTATAGGCACACAAATGCAATCACATTTCTCTATATACTCAATAAGTGTTATCTAGAAAAACCCTCATCTCCATAGTTTGTGATTAAATATTCATATGCACACAAAGCTTCCTACTTTCAAGTGATTGGGATGCATTGCTGCTCTTCCTTAAAAGCAAAACATTTATAATCTACAGCCCAACTAAAACAATCCATAGGTGGCTTGTCCTGTAATGAATGTAATTTCCCTAAATAGTAACACTACAGGAAGAATCTATGAAGATGCATATGAAACACCAACAAATATGAAACAGCAAGTGAAAGACAAGCCGGCTAAACAAAATGGTAACAAGCTCACAACTTCTGCTGCAACCGTTAGTGTGTTTTAACCCCTTGAGAATCTAGTTCATAAAATGTCCATTAGATGTTAAATGGTTACCCAACCCCATGGCAGAAGTCTAGAGTCTGGTGGGTGTCTAGGCATCCCAGCTACAAACCTTATATTGTTGCAGTAAACCAGGGAGATGGTAAACTGATCAAAGCTGTGCCCAGCCTTTCATTTCACAATGGAGGATTCACATGCAGCCAGATGGACTCTGATGGTGCCATGCCAGTGCAGACAATAAAAATGGGGCAGCTTCTTTGTGCTTATTGCAATCTTTAATAAAGCCAAAGGGCCTTTGGACCCTAGGACACTACTCTGCCTAGTCCACACTTCCTGGCATTCAATTGGCAAGAATGGAAGAGGGTGACCCGATAGGGAGGATCCTCAAGAAAAAGGTGTGTGGCCAGGCCTCATAATACAGATCCTGATAAGGCAGGGACAAGTTTGTTGCTTTTCACGAAGGCTGGGGATGGACACCAGAATGTAACAAGTAGACAGATATAGGTCATGGAGCTCTTAAAGTCGATTGCCTTGCTCCTGCTGTTCTAGGGTGGTGAAGCATTTAGGGTGACTTAAAGGGAACATGTTCCCTTATATTTTATAGTTCATGTTCCTACTTTAATATGTAACTACTAAAAATTACTTCCAGAGAAACTTTACAACTCGAGGCCAGAACTCACTAAAATACACTGCAGTTTCTGTTTTTTGTTTTGTATTGATTTTTATTATTACCTCCATTTCTTCTACTAGCACCCAACATAAAAGAGTTTAATGCAGTACACTAGTGGGTTTTTTGTAACAATAATTATAATAGGAAGTAACTATACATCCATGAGCGAATCTGAGATAAAATGACATACTCCGGTGAGTGTTCGGAATAGATTTCTGAAATAAAGGGGTACATTATACAAAACAGTTGAGAACCAAAATGATTACATCAATTGAAATCAATGCCACCTGCACAGCCTAGGTTCCTGTCCCCTCACTAAATAAAGGTATATGACACCAGCTTTGTATATACTGCAGTCAGTACACTGGTTATGAAGTTCTTTAATTAGTATATATATATGTATATATATATATATTTTTTTTTATTTTTTTTTCATTATTTGTCCTTTACAGTAATTCGTTCTTTTTATGACATCTCCTTTAGTACCAGTGTTGATAACATTATGCATGAAATGCTTTTTTCTCAATTCACTAATGCATTACACATGCAGTATTTTCATTACCACACTTTATTGGCTAGTCTTTACTAGTGAACGTAGCTTTAAAAAATAAACTTTCTTTTCGCATGGGTCAGCTGAATTTACTGATACTGCACATTATATTATTTATTTTGCATATAAAAATCAAATCACAAAAATTATCACATGTTTTGGTGACAAATCATCATTAGCATTTGCTTGAAGATGTTCAATGAGGTGTCTACTGCGGAAAGCAGTAAATGAAGACATTTGAGTTGGAGATGAAATAACGTTATGAGCTAAATTACACATTGCACCACAAATAAGATCTTGCAGTGGTTTAATTACGATTTTATGCAAAAATAGTTCTGCACAGCTATACAATTTTAAAGTAGACAGACTGTTTTGATGAGAAAATGATCATGAACATTAAAATGACAAATGCAGTTTAGTGAATTGGCCGCTTTGTAGCATTAGAGTCTTCCAGCGACTCGTGTGCTCTCCACTTGTGCCACAACCTCCAGCGGGCCGGCCTGGATTCCTGCCTTGTGTGTTAATCTACTTGGGGCTTTGTAATGAGAAAACATATGCACAATCTGTTGACATCACTTCTTAAACTTTACAGTAAGACGCAGTCTGACATCACAGAGGAAAGCGTTCATTAAGTCTTGTCCGGCCTCGTTGGTAATCTTGTTAATGGCCTGCCCACCAGCACCAACTACTAGTTTCTGTACAAAAGATACAAACGTGCTTGTTAAAAGGAAGTGCCACAGATAAATCTGTAACAAGAAATAAGATTATTTACACATCAGAGACCTGTTGGGTATTGTTATTATCAGAATCGCAGAGTAATCAAAGCAGCTTTACTTCACGACCCTTTCTTACCTCTTCATTTATGGCAGCACGAGATGTTGCCAAAGCTGAAAAAGCCACATCCATGGACAAACTGATGTAATAAAATACATGCGCTTTTAGTAGCTAAAATTTTTTTAAAGCTATACTGCAGACTGCTGCTAAACACACAGCTGGAACACATTAAAGGGAACCTGCCAGAGGAATTGTAATTATAAAACCTGCACCCCTTGCCAGACAGAACAGCCAGGCAATTGACTGTCAATGAAGCAGAATAACTTGGTCAACCACAATGTATAAAACACAATGAATGGACAATGAAGGAGCTGCAGCACACTAAGGACATCCCTCTGCTCATGCTGCTCTCCCATCCTGTACGCATGTGGATGAAACAGAGCCTGACCGACCCCTATTGCTGGTCCCCTCTCATATACAGAGGCTGAATATGAAGGCCAGTTAGGGTACATACACAAGTTACATAAAAAAAAAACAATTCTACATTTTAACTTAGCACTTAAAGGCAGCTGTTCTGTTTAAAGTCCTGTGTAAACTACAAGTCGCTGGAGTTATACCATACACGGGGCTATGGACTCCATGTGTGGCAGTACAGATTGGCTCAGTGTTGTCACATGGAGACACATGCGTCTTCATAACTAGAAGTACCGGGTATGTCCATCAGCTCCTGGCACTGAACGGGGTGGAAGCAAAGCAAGGCAACTATATGCTTCCAGGGATGCGTGGGGGTATTAAACTGTTCTTTTGCCCTGAATGATGAAATCTATATTCAGTGGTTTGATAAATAACTCACCGCATGGTTTTCTTTTGCCACCAGCAATGTTTGCATTATAACCAGTTCACCACTGGAACCTTCTTCCCATAAATTGGTAACCTGTGATCAAAGAGTTAAACAGTGAGTGGTGAGAGGATATACTGTACATCTCTATACCGGGCTCTACTACAGCTTTGATCTGCATCCACAGTACAATGATAATGGTAATAAACAAGAATAGCTACCCACCCACC